GATGGAAAGTATTATATTGCTAGATTTGAAATGTATTACCTTTGTAGAGTATGTGGAAGAACAATAATTTTTTGACATCAGTTCAAACAATTCCGTCTGGATTTTCTCCAGAATTCAGATGGTGAAAGGAAGTTACCTTTCTGGGTTTATTTAGGTTGTGGTTCTCATACTATACGACAACAGCGACTCAGCAGAGACAAGGTGGGTGCTAAGATAGGAAAGCGGAATGCTCACCAGGATTCAGGATCGGACAAGTGCAGCCTCTGTTTGTCCATGATTCCGGATATAATGTTCTCTTTCCACGTAAAATCTTTAATTTGGTAGATTTTAAGACTTTTTTAATCTTCACAATGACTTCAGCATGAGACCCTTTATCATGAGCCGATAAAATCTTTATTTTTAGCACTGTAACAACATAATTCCAAAAGTCAAAATACATAGATTTTCTTTTATCATCCAAACAACTCAAATATTCATTCCAGAATATATTGGAAAGGTGAATTGATGATGACCAGAATGTGAAACTTTGCTTTAAAATAATCATTAGAGACTGGGCATGGCGGTGCGCGCCTGTAATCCCAGCTCTTGGGAGGCTGTAAACAGGTGGATCACTATGAGTCCGATCTAGTAGTAGATTCTGAACACCCTGTAGACCTTTCCCTAAAATTAAAAAAGAATAAAATAAAATAATCATTAGGTTGGCCAGGGATATAATATAGCTCAGTGGCTCAGTGCCCGCCTGCTAAGTGTGAGGTTCTGAGTTCGATACCTGGTATCAAAAATCATTAGGCTCATTTATTTTTGTGCTGGCTTCTCCTCACTTGTCTATACAAAGTCTGTCATCTTTCTTGAACCATTTCAGCTTCTAGCTCTCATATCACTGTGCTAGGAGGTTATCAGCTACATACAATCTTAAATACAACCTGCAAATATAAACTTCAATATATTCAGCTATCAAATCTATTATATAGAAGTAGGAAGTATGATTTTTATCCTGGTTTTTATTTATATTTTGACTGTCTGATAATTTTACAATTGACTGTGTACAATGGTATGGCAGAAACCAAAATGTTACAGCTGGAAGATATTTTACAAATCCTAGTGAGATTATATAATGTGACCAATTACTGTTCTTCCCTTGTATCTAGAGTGTACAAATCAAGATGCCTGGGGTCAGGGAAGCTTTCCCTCTACCTCATGGTAGAACTCTAGGATCCTTTTTTTGGGTACCTAAATTGTACATATTTATGGAGTACCATGCAAGATTTCAGTA